GTGAACCAGAGTCCTTCATGTACAAGCAAACGAGAATATATATATATATATATTTATCATGTGTTCGGTAGATTTTATTACACACTTTTAGTACCTTCAGAATAAACTGTAAATTCCACAAGATGCATTTAACAGAAATGTATTTGAATTTAAATAAGTAAGGCAACGCCACGGATGTAATTCTTACACTATGGTTGAAGTTCCAGTGGTAAAAACTTTGTGTTTAAATATGAACAAATAGAAGATTGACGTATTGCAATACTTCTGCCGCCTACCACAATATATGTTCTGACTTTTATCGCCACAATCGATGATACAAAAACGGAAATGTTATCAGTAATTCTGTCAATAATAATTATAAAGTATTTTTAATTGTAGGCGTAATAAATAGTTCGTGAACTTTCTGATAGTGAAATGATAAAAATATTCGGTAACTGTGAGGTCTTTTTTCATTCAGGTTAAGTTTGATTTGATGTCTATTCAACATATAAGCTGACTTGAAGACTAGATCAATTAATTCACAAACTAATGCATATTTATAATATTTCAGAGCCAATGCAAATTTTAATTACCTTGGTGAGAGTTATTTAGCATTTGTGACAAATATACGTTAGATGATACGTATAGTGAATGTTGCTGAAGTTTAGAATATCCTTTTGAGATCAGCTACAAGGAATGAGTGTAAATAAACATATCTAAATTATTATAATTCAACTGTATTAGTATACACATGATTGTGTTTATTGGTGAGCTGTTTCAAATGTTCACTTGTGACTGACTGATTCTACAGCAAATGTAACCACACACCAGATTCACGTTGGAAAAGCAACTGAAAACTGATGAACAATGGGTTAGGCTTTCTTCATTCATACCTTTGAGTCCTGAATGTGGTGTATTGCTTCAAGATGCTGAAGTTTTATTTGTGGAGTGGTTTTGATAGCCTCAGATTTAACCTCCCCTCTTTTCTGAGTCAATTGTTAAACTAGTGAAAATCACTATTAATGGGAGAAATTTGAAAAAAGGCACTTCTTTCACTTATCTAGGAAGCATTGTTCCAATGGCAGATGACAGCACGGATGGGGACGCCAAAATCAGAGTCGGAAAGGCAAGACAGATTTTCGTCAATCTGAAATCAGTCTGGAAAACTTCAGCATTCAGCACAAAGAACAAATTCAATTCAACAAAAGAACAATTCGGGTCTTCAAAATCTGTGTTGAGGCAGTTCTTCTATATGAGTCAGGAAGGAGATAATAATAATGGTAAACTGAACGATATTTATGAGTGACTCATAGGTGATTTTGACCGCAGACTACGAGCGTGATTGGAGGGTTTCTCACCATTGTGCTATCGACGTACAGATTAAGCAAGTAACTTACTATAACTCAGAAGTCTCGGACAGGGCACACCTAATTCCTCTTTCGTTGCTACTCAAATTATTAATTTTGTTATTACCATTATATAAGAATAGAAAACTGTTCCTTTTGAAAATGTAAAAGTTATTGGGTTGAAGCTTGTAGTAGAAAGCCAAGGTGAAATGTTATTCAGTGAACGTTTAATTTCTATTTTCTATTCTTTGAAGAAACTTGTGATTTTCTCCAGATATCACTTCACTAATGATTTATAAATGCAAAGGAACTCATGACTTTGAACAGTTATTCTCATTATAGAACACAGAGGATTTCTTTCATTACGCTGCATACTTCTTATTGTTGTGCCAAATTTTCATGCTTTGTACCTAACTATCGTGATGGAAATAGTCAAACATTTGTTCTTGCCAAGTATTGTTTTGCAGAGGTCCGATTGATTTCAAGACTACTCACCAAGTAACTTCAGCTAGAGGACCACTAAAAATCAGGGAATACTGGACAGCTGTTTCATCGTGGTATGGAACTCTTCAACAGTACTCACTCGTGACCCAGACAAAGGGCGAATTCAGAGAATTCAGGCTATGAGGATCGCTTGTTGACTATTCGGCCACCTGGACGGAACTCAACTGATTATTTGTCATCACTGGACAACCATGTCCATGATCGTATGTGGTTGTCACATTTTTTGATTTAAGAAAACAGTAATCCAGTCGTAGTAGAGTGGAGATAGCTTCCCTATATGAAACTAAACTATGTGTATTATTGGAAATTTTATCGCATTTCCAAAGAGGCTGAAAATTCCCCCGTAAGTTGCATTTTACTTGTCAGATTTATAAATACGTGAGTGGGATTTGAAGAAGTATGTAGAATCTACGTACTTAATTTCTTTTATTACCAAAGTGTCTTTTTATTAGGGATAGTGTTTCTAAAATGATTTCATCAGCACAAAAAGGACACTGGTAAATTAGGAACATGTAGTTCATTGTTTTACTGCGCTTTTGATTCTCTTCAAACAAGTCAATCATTGACAACTTGAAGGTGGGTTAGCAGAACGCATTTGTCATCCGAAAGTTCGGATTGAGTTGGTCAAATAGGTGCTTAATACAACGAATTGTAAGAATTTTCGCTCCTGTGTGCAAAATCCCCTTTGGTATTTAGTGAAGGTTTCTAAAGTCATAATGATATAAACATCTTTATTTTGGATAGTACTTATAAAATGTGCAGAACTTTCAGAGGAGTTTACTGCTTGGTATTTTCCTTTCGTACAATATCTACAAGTAAAATATTAATTGACAGTATATCTTGTGACACAATGGTCTCTGAACTGAAGCCCAAATCATTCCATTATGATATATCTGCTTTGTTACCTTCAAGGAATCCACGATATCTAGTTGAAAGTCAATTGTAAGATTTTCAGAAGTACAGTTTGGGACCCGAGAACATAACTGAAGAACAGCTATCTCATCTATTGAACACGATGCCACCCACAATCCGGCCATTTTTAAAGTTCAGTAGTACCTTACAAATCAAAGCTTGTAAACATTTTGAATACACACAATAGGAGATCATAACAACAGAAGTTAAATCTTAATCGATTAAAACAAACGGAATGAGAGAAAATATACAAAAGATAGATGGAGGTCGGATTTTAAAATGCATACGAACGCCTAGACGAACTAGTGACAATTCTTCATCAGTGCAAATTGAAAGCAATTCATAAGAATGCTGAATCTTACTCTGTACCATCTAATCACGGAATATATTCCACTGACAGTGCTTGACTAACTGACATTCTATAAGAATAAGACTACCATAAGTCAAATTTATAATCTGCAAATTAACTCACAATTTCCAATGTACACAGTTCCAGGAGGTGAAATCTCACGAAAGTTTCCTTTGGAGATCAAATTATACAGATCACAGTGTGTGTGATCTGCTTGATACTATAAATGGCAATCAAGTAAGCAATGATAACTGCATAAAACCATATATCACTGATTGACTAGATGAGTAGTTGTGTACCGCTGATGTCAACCAGTGATGCCTGCTAGCCAGATCGAGCTGATCTAAACACCGGACGGCAGTTTCCCCCGTTTATGACCGTCAACATCAGCGGTGTATCCAATTTGACTAATTCTCTTCTCTGAGCTAAACCAAACCAGGTTCAATACTCTCATTAAAAGAGCGGAATGGCTGTCAGGTGTTTAGACCACCTCGATCAGGCTAACGGCACTACTGGTTTTTATGAGCAGTATACAACTACTCATCTCAATAAATCAGTAGTATGTAAATTGATGCAAATGAAAAAAATACCAATAATAAAACTGCTGAGTCATAAGGAAACCAAATGAAAATTAAGCGAAGTAAATTTCCATATTACTGAAATCCATTTGAGAGGCAGTAAAATGGTATAAGGATTTGTCATTAAATATATAGTAGTCTATTGCTGAGTAATAGGGATGGAAGGTGACATAAATGATACAATTACTTTGAAGTGGTTTCCAAAGCAAAAAACTACGCAACAGTCGGTGAGTGAAAATAGTTAAAACCTTTCTAAAAACATAAGTGAAAGACCAAGGAAGAGGTTAAGACCACGGCAGAATGAGATACTGAACAAATCTTTTCCTCATACAGAGTTCGTGGTTTTGTTGACAAAACGCTAGTGGCGCTATCGATTATTTACCTAATGAAGATGATTCGTAGATAAAGAAGTTTTCCTTCTCTGGACTGCCTTTATGTACCTGTAAAATCCAGTTATTTTCTTAAAAGGCGATTAGTTTGTTTTTGATGATGCTAGGCTTTTATACCATATCTCACTGAAGACGATGACTACGATGACACCGAAACCTCCTCAAAGAATACCAACTTACAGAGTGTGGCTATCAGGATACCCATCAATTTATACATCAATTTCATACCATTTTGTTAACACATTTATTATTCTCCATTCCTGCATGTTAGCAGTGGTACATAGGGCTTCAAGTTAGAGCTTTGAAGTTCCAGTAGCAGCGGCATTTTTACGGGATGAGGTCGCGAGTCTCATGCTCAACCTTCCCTCTTTACCGGGCTTATAACCAGCTAAGTGGGGTTGAGGGGTGTCTCCTCTGGAAGCCGAACCCTGGAACACTTGTATGGTTGGCCATTGCTCTACCACGGAACCACCGATGCCTTCTAGGAGCACTGGACAGTCGTTTTGCCCTAGTTTGCGACTCTTCGTCAGTACGCACCCACTGGGGTTCGAACCAAGGACTTTCTAGTTACGAGGCCTAGAACATTAAGCCCCTGGAACCTTGTTAACACATAAAACATTCCACTTTGCTGAATGTGGTAAACTTCGCCTCACTTGATTGCTTTTCTTGGCGAATTTTGTAGCTAGTAGGATATTTTTGCATGCAATTGTTACATTTAGACGTTTACTTTATTACGTAAGTCTATAACAGATGTATATTCAATGTATCATTTCATGCCATACCATCTTGCTTATTGATTTTTTTACAAGGGAAGTAATAATAATAACAAGGAGGCAGTAATAAATTACAATGCTATGCATTCGCGTTTAGCTCCTATCCTTAGGGCTTCTTGCTTCCTCACGTCCTCATTCAATTTATTTATAAGATAGTTATGAAACGGAAAATTAAACTGAACTGTATGCATATATATATATATATATTCATGCAGGGGAAAAGAAACATCAACAAGAAGAAGAACGCAATGGTGGTAACCATTGAAAAAATAGCACAATACACGCAAATCTATCTATCGAAATTTTATTGGTTCTAAATAAAATCAATATTTAACCAATGAAACGTGAAAATACAAAAAAAAAGAAAAAGAAAACCATAGCTTTTGTATAACTAACTTTTAAGTTCCAGTGGTAATCTGTTATTGTTGTTATCGTTATTGAGCGATAGAAGTGTATATATTACTTAACCGATTCAGGAAATATTCTAACGGATTAATAATATTTGAGGAGTAAAGAATATATGTATACATAGTTCATGGTAATAACTACGAAAGAAACAATATAAACCTACAGAAAAGTATTTGTGAACAAAATTTAAAAATCTATTTAAGTATATATTATTAGACAGATAATGAGTCAGCAACAAGTAAGTCTCTTTCACTGCTTGCTTTTAAGTCAATTTTGATTTTTTTTTTCATCTATGGTTGATTGAACCAGAATGTTCAGCTTCTGTTAACACGCCGGCCCCGGGTTCAGATGCCCGACTGTTATATAGTGAATAACGCCTTTTGGATTTAGAAACGATGAATACTAGGTTTGAATGTCAGTGAGAGAACAATATCATACACTATGGAATGTTAGTACATCCAGATGATGAGTCCAAAAACAGGACGAAATGCGCCAGCTGGATGAATTCCACTGCTAGTCACTAACGGCTAAACTACTTCAAGTTAATTTCATTTGTAACACTTTGTGTGTGATACCTGGTAAAGTCAGTCTAAAAGGGACTTCATATTAGTTCACCTCTTTGATATAATGCACAATAGGACTGGATTGTGCCTCGAAAAAGTGTTTTGTTCATGGTCAAATGGAGCCTCTGTCTGTTTGTGGTCTGTTAACAAAGGAAAAAACTGATTTTAGCATAACGCAAATGATAATGCTCAAATTTTACCCACAAACTAATTTAATCGTGACAAATACGGGAAATGAAAACGTTTGCAAGTCGTGTCAATACACTGATATGATGATTATGAGTAATGAACTGTGCTCAAAAAGTCATTCGATTATCAGTATTGCATCACTTTGTGTTTCATATCAAATAAACCTATCTAACATGGATTTATATTTCAGCAGAGTGCCCAAATTCAAATCTTACATTAAAAAACCCAGCTTACTGGGTCAGGTTACTCATGTATTCAGTAATATAATCTAGGGGAAAGTGGACCGTCCAGTTGGACGATAGCATCACTTCAGTATTTATTCTCTTTTGTTACTTGGAAATAAAAATTACTTTCTATAATTGATTTGTAAGGATTGGTTTTGGTTTTACCAGATGATCGCGGATTGATATCACTTAGAGAACCATGGAAAATTAGAATTTAGTACTAGACAGCCGTTTCATCCTAGTTAGGGAATCGTCGGCAGTGCGCACCCACCGCCAGGATCCGAACCCAGGACCTTCCAGTTATAAGGCAATCTCGTATACCATTCAGACACCGGGACCCGATTCAGTGACCAACTGATGAATTCTCACTTCTACCAATTCGTGATTTAGCGCGACCCCAACCAATGTCGTCGGTGGCACATCCATCCTCACACGTGACTGCATGGACCTCACTGGTCACGACTTCTCACTGGAACTTCAGGAAACTCTGCACTTTAGCAAGTCACGAGCGAGCGTAAAATTAATTTCCTGCAGTTGGTTTGTAAGAATTAGTTTTGCTTTTACGAGTCGGGGTCGCGCTAAATGATGAATCGGTAGAAGTGATAATTCATGAGTTGGCCATTGAATCAGGTCCCAGTGTCTGAACGGTATAAGAGATTCTCTTATAACTGGAAGGTCCTGGGTTCGGACCCAGTGGGTGCGTACTGCCGATGATTTCCAAATTAGGATGAAACAGTTGGCTGTCTAGTCCTCCCTGGTTTTCAATGGTTCTCTAAGTGATATCAATCCATGATCAACTCGTAAAAGTAAATATTATACTTTTGATTAATGGCTGTGCTAAGTAACGTTGAAAAAGAATTTGATGTCGTGTCATTAAAACAGTTTTATAACCATTATCAGTGGAAGATTCAAACTTAATTTTAAGTAGAAGTTGGCATAACTGAAATAAAGAATAAATATTACATTGAGAAGTTAAAGGATATTTGGTTATTTCTACCTTATCGCAACCCAATATTGAGGACAGATACAGAATACTAATGGAGTTGTGTATAAACTATTAATATTGAAATATAATTATAATTTATTTGATCTATTCCACAATGCTCAAACTTTTTAACTGGTATTAAATGCCAACTTTTTCACCACTGACTTACACTTAGTATTCTCTAAGCGAAATATGATTCAACACTGCCTGTGCGCACCTCTGTATGCATCTATCCTGTCACATGCTCCCGTATACACCGTAAGCGTGTTCTCCGGAATTGTTACTTGTTTGGGATAATGAAAAGCGACCATAGGGTTTCGACGTCATCAATTTGTGAACACCTTGTGGAGTCAGTTCACTGAACTTCCCGTGGTTTTCTCTCCAAAGTTATCTACGAGGCCTGATTCAGTCACTCAAAATGTCACCTTTTCTCCACTGATGCATAGTCAAAGCTCTAATTATACATGGATAAAAACCTAAACTATGTATTTGTTAAACCCCCTTCTTCACTTTTTCCAAATGAATGTTTTAAAACATTCTATTTTTTTTACCACTTGGATTCATTCCACTGCACTTCATCTTCGCCCACTTCAGTGTCATCGTCATCCTACTTTTTACTGTTTAGGCAATATGACCTACTTTCACATTTTTCCTTCTGAACTACTGTCATCAAATCATTCAATACTTCATTATAATATCTGTTCTACTACTTCAATGATTAAGGGGTAGGGTGCTCACCCCCCATTCGGATGGTTCAGAGTTCTATCCTTAGCTGACGCACTCTTGAACCTCACCTAATTTCCTAGCCAGTAAGTAGTAAGCAAAATAAAAAACGAAAGATCAGACGTGAGGCTAAAGACCCCATCCTAAAGAAACAGCACGTACAACCGCTAGTGAAAATTCGGAGCCTAAAGCTTGAGGCTCCGTGTTTTACTAAGAACGCCTTTCTTATAACCAATAACTTTTTAAAATAATTCTATGCAGGTTTTTTCTATGGCATATTTTTGGAGGAAGAATGAGGGGTTCATTTACTCTGTCTGTTAATAAGGGTGATTTGCGTCTCATATACATTAGAATAATTCCATTTTTAAGGCGTTTCGTATTATAAATTCGACGGTTTACTAATCAAATTTCAGCACCATATGTCAGTTTGCTGATCAGTCTTTTCATAGCAGCAGAAATTTCATTCCTCTGCACTCTAAGTGGAATACAAGGCTTTAAACTTGAGCTCCAAAAGTTTCAGTAGCAGTGATATTCTCTTTAAAAAGCGGGGTTCCCATCTTTACACTCAACCTTACCTTTTCACTGGCCTTATTACCGGTTGAACGAGGTTTAGCAATACGTTGGCCGGGAATCGAATCTTGGACCGCGTGTGGGGTCAGCGAGTGCTATACCACTGAACCAGCAACGCTCAAAATATTTCCAGTATCAAAAAAAGTAAGATACAATTGTATGTAATCAATCATTGGAATATAATTATAATTTGTGTATAAATGTAAACATCATTTCTTTATCAAAATTGTATGGAAATATAGGCCTTTGAAGGATACCTTCTTAGATGTTATGTGATTGACTTAAGTTCGATTTCATTTCAAGCCTTCTTCTTTTTCGAAATTCACTCAGTATTAATTTTGTCGAAATTATTTAAGAAGACACCATTTTCTGTGATAATACAATTGTTTGAGAACAATTTTTATTGACGACATTGGTATTTTTCTAAAATAATATCGAGTTGTTAAGATCAAAATATGTGTAAGTTATAACATGTATAAGAGAATTAATGCAACAACAAAGGGTAGAATAATAAGACAGTGAAAACAATAATAATTTGTGAATCGTTTAAAGGCGAGAGTAAATCGTAGGACTTTTGCAATGAAGTAATGATAGTTAAGGTAAAGAAAGTGATTGTACGAATTTCTTCCAGATGCATAGGTTCAGCTTCTTCATGTGGATTCTGTTGGCCTCAGCTAAACACAGAAGACGGACTAACAAGATGAAAGAAGAACTGAAAGACAGCTACGAGTATACTTTGTTTGTCCCTTGCCTAACCATGCACGATGATGTCTAACTGTACACCCAATACAACCAGCTCTACAGTAGCAATCAAACTAGTAAGTAAACAAAGAGAGGTGAATTTGCGTAGTTTATTCTTGGAGCGTTTGTGAAGAGACAGCGTACCTATTCTGTATTAAATGCTTTGTTTATTGCATTCCTTAGGCTTTGTGTTATTATTTCACTAATGCTATTACCAAGAAACATCAGTTTTATGAACAAGGGCTTCTTTGGAGCTACTGACATACTACCTTACCTTGGTGATAAATTTGTATTTTTATCAAGGAACATTTCTGGATATCTGTCTATTTATCTGTTTAATTCCTTAATAAATAAGGGAAATGCATAGTCTTTGTGCATCTTATAAAAGTTCCTTCGTACACTATGCAGAGGATGTGGAAGTGTTGCCAGCTATGATATAGAGAGTCCATTATACATAATTTTTGTCGAATTGGTGAACCATTTTTATGGAATTTTTGGAAGACATGTAATCGTACTGTCTCCTGAATATCTAAATGGGGATTTCTGCTATATTTAAATCATTTAAGCCTGAATTGCATGATAATCATTTTTGGGCACTAATTGGTTTCAAATCTTTAAATATTCTCATTAGAAATAATAGAACAAGGCATAAGCAAACAAGCAGGCTTTCTTCGGACTATATTCTATGTTCTTTATTCTATATTCTATATTACAGTGATAACAAAAATAATGATAATAGTAAGGTTTATGCAGGTGGCGATAAGAATAACGAAGGCAGTAATATGTGTATATGTAGACAATTCATTGAATAAATTAGATTAAATCTTAAAAGTTACGCAGTACTAAAGGTGAAGTGGATATATACTACCGCCACCCTTTGTTTGTCATTTTCCAGCAGACCAATTATGATTGCTCAAGTGAAAAACAAGCCACCCAGCTGTGCTACATCATTGTGCATTTACAAATTTAGATGTTTCTTAGGAGGAAGCTATATAAGGCGAACAACTAGACAGCTCACCAAACGTATTACTGAGCATCTTCGTTCACGGTTCTCAAAAAGCCAAACAAATTCTATAAGAAGTTCTATTTTATGTCATCTGTTTGGTAGCGGTCTACAAGTGGACAGAAGAAGTGCCTTGAAATTTATCTATTGAATTCTATCGAGCCTTTCAAACGCAATTCCAACTCCTCTCTAACACATAGCCCAGACTAAGGGGATTGGAGAGAACAATCCTTGTATTCG